CCACTAAAAAATTCGCCATCCCCAGTCTTGCCAATCTACACAACTCAACGTTCGCTCAAGGATTCAGCAATAACGAACGTCAAGCGGCCACCAGGGCTTTACTGAGACACGACGTTCACATTGACGGGACACACTATCAGGCTAGACTGCCTGGTGGCCTTCACCCGTCGTACTTTGCCTTTAGCAGCACTGCTAAACGAACCAGTGAAAAATCCCTTACCCACGAGGAGCTTCTGGAGGCATCACTGCAAGACGTCTTTGACGCCGTGAGTCATTCAAGTCAGTGTCCGCATCTTATTTATGTCTCACTTGTTTCCCAGCTGAGTATGCAAGATCGCCTTGATGGCGGAATTTCTGTCCTCATTCAATGCGCTGGGTCTGAAGCAGTCTCTTCACCCGAAAACCTCCCTGTCGACCTCTACATTACGCCCCGCGAACTACAAGAAACTCCCGAGCGAATTGGCGGAGACCTTGCCGTCTGGGTGCAGGTATTTGCCCAGGAGTTTGCAATGCCACACCTCGAGCGGTTCAATCAACGTTGTGTCATCGAAAACATCCAACCGCCACCATGCTGTAAGTAGTAGATCATTTTCGGCTTCACTGTTCACACAACTGACTCAAATTCAACAGTTTCTGCGGCTCATATCAATGTCAAGGGCCCACAGTATCTACCTGGCCCAGTGGTTGCTACTGGAGCGCATATACAATGTTCTGCTCAACCGGCCCATACCTTCACGCAAGAATTGAAAGCAACTGCGGTGCACGATGCTCCTTCTGCAGCTATCCGCGGGGGTGCAGAAATGAGCGAAGGTATTGGCGAGAACATTTCGCCACAGCTGACCACCCAACACACACGAGTTCGCCGACGCAGGCACGCGGAAATTTTCACACCCGGCAAGGTAACTAATGATGGCCCGATTTTTTCGGTACCAAGACTGGAGCAGGATACTGCATGTGGACCGCCACTCATTAGTATTGGACCGAATACTGACGCCGCTCTGGATTGGATTAAGTTGGGGGATGAAGTTTTACCTAAGCTCCGTGTTCTAGTTCAAACTGTGCGTAGCAGCCGATGGGAGGCAGTGTTCAGGTCTCCAAAATGGGATCTCTCGTACGAACATGCTTCCATTCTGTCTAGGGCGCTCCTGGCTGACCTTCAGGGCATGCCACGTAGCCCTGATGTTGTAAAGGTCAGTGATATTATTTTGGCTGCTGCTGTCATACTAACTCAATTGAATGTCCATAGCAGCCGTCATCTGTCCTCATGTCCATTTTGAAGCTTATTGGTATATTGATTTTCTTATGCGGCCTATACTTTTTCGGCATCTTATTATTTTGGCTGTAGATCACTTTCCCCTTTTGAGTCTTAGTTATAAGCCATGTGTCCTGTTTTTTTGCCGTGGGTTAGAAAAAATAAATGCATTGGTGTGTATAAAATATTCGTATTCAACTACAAAGGCCCTTTGCTGATTTTTGCCATCCTTCTGTGGGTGATGGTCTCCCAGTCCTTCTATGCTGCGAAGCGCATTCAAGCACCACCTCGTAGTCGTCCTAAGGTCACCCTCAGCAAAGAAGCTCGCGCGGCACTCAAGTTTCAGCGAACTGAGAAGTCGCGTCAATTCAAGGATGCGCTTGATCTTGCATGGGGCCAAATTGACGATGTTACAACAACCATTGCTGCTACCCATCGCAAGAGCTTCCGTCGTGTACAGCACAATTTATACATGGGTCGGGGATCACTCCGTTCGAAGCATTCAAAGCCCAGCGTTTGGAACGCATTTTGCTGGAAGAAATCTCAGGAAGCGAAGAAAGAGAACTGTAAGTCTGTTGATTTGTATCATATGCATTTTCATGACTCAATGTTGAATTAACAGGCAATGGCCACAGAAAGGAAGCACTCCAGTCACTGGTCCGCGACCACAAGGATGAATACCACGCTCTCACACAGGAAGAACAACAAGAGTTGCTCCAGGAATTCGCCGACCAGAAGGAGACCAAGGTCTCTGGGTTACGTGTCTCAACGAAGTCGAAGATCAACGACATCACTCAAACCCTGAAGGCGGTAGAAAACGAGGTACGCACCCTCGAATTGCAATACAATGTTACTAAGTGTCTCGTTACTAGCTCAATAGTTTAAATTCTCGCACTGGCGCCGAGGTCATGTTGTATATGACGCGCGGTACTACTGATCTACCTCTCCGTGCAATCACCTTCACAACGCCGGGTGTCAATCACTTTATGGACTCTGTCATCGGCATCGATACTCAGGACTTCCTCAGCAAGATGGAAGGTTTCGCTATCCAAGGGATACAAGGTACAGTTTTTCTGTTGTTATTACATTCTCAAGTTAATTTCTATTTGTACTAGGTGCCGCAAGCAACCATCAAAAAGAGGTCTCTAAGGTTCGCAGAGACATTCGAGCAATCATCACCCAGAAATTGAGTAAGTCTTTCCCATCTTTTGACAGCACAGAATTCATTTTATTCATAGGGAAGGTGACCGGAGAAAGCAATGCCAGGATGCAGTGGGCAGACTACTTTCGTAACGTGGTCAACCGCTATCAGGTCGCCATCAAAGGATGGCCGGAGCATATCCCATTCACAAACCTCAGCAGTGTGACCAACGCGCTTCCGGACCTCCATACTCTTTTAGACTGTTGGAAGTCGGGCAATACGAGGTGGGAAGTGTTGAATGACGAGGAACTCGAGCAACTCCGTCGCGAGCGCAATGAAAAAATTGACAGTGGTGACATTATCGAGTCCCGCCGCAGGACACGGTCCGACAAGGGTAAGAAGCGAGTACGACATGCGATAGCTGACCCCAGATGTAGCAAGAAGCACAAGAGTGCGGAGACCATTGAGTCCAGTGACGACGAAGATACCCAGAGTCATGGATGGACACCAGACGGTTCGGAGGATGTCAACACCACTCCGAACGCCAACTCGAACTCTAATACGACCGGGTGTACTGCTGGACGGACACCAGACGGTTCGGAGGATGTCAGCACCACTCCGAACGCCAACTCGAACTCTAATACAACTGGGTGTACTGCTGGACAGACACCAGATGGTTCAAAGGATGTCAGCACCACTCCGAACGCCAACTCGAACTCTAATACGACTAGGTGTACAGCTGGACAGACACCAGATGGTTCGGAGGATGTCAACACCACTCCAAACGCCAACTCGAACTCTAACACGAGTGGGTGTACTGCCGAGCACCCAGTAATGTCAATTCCCCCAGACTCAATCATCCTTTCCCCTTCGAGCAGCACCCCAGTACCATAACAATATCCCAGACTCAGCCATCCTGTCCCCTTTGAGCAATGTCCCTAGTTTCATTATTCCTGCGCTATAACTCATTTCTTGATGGAATCGCTCGTGATAGACTTAGTTTGTTTTTATAAAAGTGCAATGACATCTTAGTTTGATCTACAATATCACAGTGCAAGTAGAATATGACATAACCCAGTGCAATGAGGTGTGACAAACTACAAAGGGACAAAGGAGAACAACAAAGCTACAAAGGAGGGCGACGACGAAAGTACGAGGGAGGCGGGAAACGGCAGGTACGAAGGAGGGCAACGACAAAGGCACAAAGGAGGGCGACAACGAAAGCACGAGGGAGGCGGGAAACAGCAGATACGAAGGAGGGCAACGACGAAGGCACAAAGGAGGGCGACGACGAAAGCACGAGGGAGTTGGGAAATGGCAGGTACGAAGGACGACAACGATGAAGGCACAAAGGAGGGCAACGACGAAAGCACGAGGGAGTTGGGAAACGGCAGGTACGAAGGACGACGACGACGAAGGTACGAAGGAGGTTGAGAAGGCACGAGGGAGGTGGGAAACGGCAGGAACGAAGGAGGTTGACGACGACGACAAAGGCGGAACAATGGGGGCACGATGGAGGCAGGGAACGGCAGGGACAATGAGCACAGTGATGAGGAGAGCTAGGAAGCGTGAGAAGGGCCCCTTGGTTCGAATTAGGAAGCGTAGTAGGCGTTGCCGAGCGTGCCGAATTAAAATAGGAATATGACGCAATTAAGGCGGGGCGGGATGCTTACCGAATATAGCCTATGCGCGCGCGCGCGCGCCCACCATAGTGAGGTGTACATAGTTTTTTTGAAGGTATTTTGAGGAGCTGGGGCACTATTTAACGCTGGTGTAGGGATTTGATGAAACCAAGCCTAATTATAGTTGGCGAGACACGTAACTACCAAGTATAATAAGGCTTATTAATAGGGCAACCCAGGTGTTAGGTCGACCCCACTTTGAACAGCATCACCGTGACCGATCAACAATTTGGTGATTCGGAGATACATCGGAGTCTGAAGTTTGTTTGTTTGCCAAGACGCCTCGGAAAAGAGAATTCCAGCAAATGCAACAAGGGGCCGAGGCTTCCATACTCAAATACCCAGAAGACTTCATTCAAATGTCTCCCTTTAAAATGCAGCCAACATGGTATTCCGCGCTATCCAAACCTCTCAAAACCAACCTACACACGGACTTTTATCGATAAGCCACAAGGTATGAATAGACCCCAGTCGGCAACTAACGTTTAATTACTTTTGCGACATATGCAGAAGATCAAATATACCTCTTGTCCATGCCAAACCCCGCTTAACCTCTGAACAACGGTGTCCGATGGAAGATTAAGAAAGTCGATACACTATGCCTGTCCAAGGGTGCGTATCAGGCCTTTTGACATGAGTGCGCTCCCGTTCCTTGCTGGCTGTGATGTCATGGCAGTACCGTATCATAACTTCGTTACCATGGATCAAGTCGAATTTGTCGTAGCATAAATGATAATGTACAGCAGCTGAGACTACGGACGTCAAATAGATATGGCCATCCAAATGCTCCACCCACCCCATGACAGACTCATCCTGTAAATTAAACATGTAGTAACGAACTCTACCAGACCCACCCCCACCAGTCATCTTGTATAGTCCAAACCTCGGGCCAGGAACGAAACTGGATAAACCACATGATAAGACATCACGCTGTGATATGCACATATGACATGTCGGACAATGGAATATGAACCAGGCCGCTTGAGCCGCGTAGATGTTGGTTTGTCTGCCAGAGATGGATGTGCATGCGTGTGGCAACAGTCGCAAGGGCTAGGAACTGGACACTGTACATGGGTGTACATTTCGAGTGTGATTAGCAGGAATACGCAGTGGGATGCAGAGGTACATACCCATCCAAAACGGTCTGATAGGAGTCCTGGGGCGCAGAACATCAACGGCACATCATAGAAGACCTTTAAAATATTCACGCACCTGGAGGAGCAACGATGTGAAGATGTTCATTACTGAGAATACTTTAGGAAACAGAACGACCATGAATGAGCACAGAAATAGCGCATACGAGTGTTAACTCACGGAAAACGCAAGCATAATATAATATGTTATGGTTCATCAGGACAATGTACAGACGGCTTGTGTTTCTCCGCCAGCTATATATGGCACGTATGAGCGTGAGGATCATGAGTCCTGGGGAGAACACCTGTCAGCGCCTGTTGGTACACACATATGCTCCTGGTTACCCAGTCCGAACACAGAAAAGAGAACAAATGGGATAAAAATCTGGTCACTGGTTGAACTCTGGTAGCACCCTGTGATGCCCAGGATCGGGATAGTCACATCTGTGGAAGTGAAAAGAATGTTTCAGTCACACCAGAGGGAAGGTGAGAGTGCGTACAGGCTGCGGAGACGGTAGTGTCGACGATAATGCTGACGGATCCTACGAGACACAACTGGCTGATTGATTTACCACTAGCTTGTGTATGGTGAGTGGATTGGAAACTCACGAAATAGGTGACCAGGATGGCCGCGAGCAAGATTTTATTTCTGTTCCAGAACACATACGTCCTGATGATAAAAAAACCTGGATAAATTGGATCAGCAATATGCATATCTTAGGGAGCAAGGAGAGATACAGTCGGAGCAAATAGCTAATATCATGCCGAGCCCTGTGAGAGAAAGTGGGCTGCCCTCAGCAAGGTTGCACATAAATGAATGTACCATGGACGTACCTGAGGTAATATTGACCAACATCCCGCATTTCTGGGGAAGTCATGGAGTAAGTCGCTCGTTCTCATTAACTCTCCACCTCATCACATACAACTAGGTTCTCATTCGGGGTAAAGCTCACTGGAAAAAAGTGTTGATAAATTAATCAGGGCGATGTGTGCTGGAGCGGAACGCACTATATAAATTTGTGATGAGAAGGATAAAGGGAATGTATCTTGTAACAATATACAAGCCTTTCATCTTGCTCCAGTGCGATTGCAGCAAAAATGACCACTTTGTATGTCATATTGTGTGCATCAGCCTGAGATCTAAAGCGTATCATGGAAGAAGTGTATTACCTCTTCATGAAGTGAACATGCATAATCATAGATCTGGATAAGCGAGTTTGACGGTGGGTATGAATAGATAAGAGTTGAACCCTACCCAGAATGTAGCCATCGACGCTGAGCTGTATCAGGACACATAATATGACGTTCAGACGGTACTACGCACTATATATGTACTGGTGTACATGACTTGTCAGTTATGATTCATCCTCGGCGACATGGAGACATACCTTGGCGAACTGCAAACTCGTTGCTGCTGCGACATCGTCAGTCGAATACTCCATTTCAAAGAGGTCAAAAGATGTCTTTCACACACATCACTGGCATGAGCCTTCTTAACTATCGAGCGGTCAACGCATCAAGATGGCAGTGTAATTTTAAATACTAAATACTGCGGACCATTGAGTTTGAATTTAGTTGATTGCGGTCGTGATGATAGATTTTACCACTCACTAGATGTACTACCAGCCGGAAAGTGACTTGGTAAAAGATACTTTGGCCGCCTGAGGCAGTAGTATCCCCAATAGTCAACTAGTAATATCATGCTCGTTTCCGAGGCACATAAAATTGTTATTACTAATTTGGTCTTTAGTCAAACTACATATTGATTAATCCAGAACGCACCTGGCAATAACTATTAATACCAGTACTTACCTCGGTGGTCGTTTTTTCAAGGTGCCGTTTTGAAGTAACCAACCTCTTTGCAATGGATATCAGACTTCCTGCGGCCGGCACTCTCCGGACAACTTCTGCCACCGTCGCCACCGACCAACTTTCAACTTTCATCTCAGCACAGACAGTTGAGACATAGCGTGTTTTATTCACCTTGTAATTTGAATCAAACAACGCTTTTACAGAGTCACATTAGATTCTTGCGTCGCTTGAGGTAGCCCCCTCCTGCTATCAATTGCATTAGCCACCTGAAGGCCTGACTCACAGTGTTCGGGCGATTGAACATATATATACAAGTCACTCCACCCTATCAAAAACATGCACTCACCGCTCATAACTGTCCAGATACAACTACAAGTCTTAAACGCAAGATGTTCAAAAAGCCTCCCTAACCAAGCTTCAAATTTGGTCCCTCGCGACATTCAACCCGCGGTAGTGCTTAGTCGCTCTGAATATCTGGATCAGATAAAAAGCTTAGACAATGGATGAGAACAAGGTGCGTCCGGAAATCCTTAGCATTTTCTGCAGCAAGTTAGATCTGATTTTGAAGTGCAGAAATCGAGGGTGACTTCAACCTTCTTTTCTCCGACTCGTCTCGCCTTCTAACACTATGGCATGGCCGACCAACTCACTGGAAATTAAACATCGTGTCTCCTCGCTCCTGGGTGTTCTTACTTCATCACCTTCCGAGCATCCATCAGAGAAGTGCCGCGTGTGAGTACTAAATTTTGAGCACCTTTATCCAGGCTTATGTGCTCAGTTCTTAAACAGTATATCAATTTTTTTCCAATGCTGCTCCTCGTAATTCAGTCCTCCGCTTGCCTATTTACACCATGTTACGCCGCCAACAATGGAGAGCTTGAGACTTTACGTTCATCCAGCAAGATGTCGAGGAGTTGTTACAAGAATTGGATATGTCTGGGGAAGAGCGCAGTCAATTGTTCAAGTCCATTGCTGATGCATTCATACAATGTGGCCAGCCGTACGTATTCTTCCATTTGACTGATCAAGGTTGTGGTTGACATCTGACTCATACAGGGAAACCGCTTATCACCACACGCTTCTTACGTCTCTTCATCACCATCCTCTTCCCCTGAAAGTCAATCTGCAGCGATCGATGTCATAGCCTTGGCATTGTACTCACCCACCTTGTTCTACTTTGACCCATTGTTCAAGTTGGACGCTGTTGTCTCTGCGAAAGATCACGAGGCTTTCTCACTTCTCCAGGTGTTTTTAAGTAGTGGTCTACCAGAATTACATTCGTCGCTCGAAAGCCATCCCGCTATTCTCGAAAAATATGGTAAGTCGGTTCATTATGATTAATACCACACATTTAAACCATTAATGGGCCTGCAGAACTCGACTGAGCATAGCTTGAGCGGCGGATACGTCTTCTGTCATTTGTGTCACTGTTTTGCACACATCGGGCATGACCCGCCGTATTCAGAGGTCGCGTCGATCTTGCAGATTGATTTGAGTGAAGTAGAGAAGTGGGCGATCGATGGTACGTCCTCTTGGCATCCTGTCGTTTATAATAATCTTTGAATATTGATTCGTACCTGTCTTCTTGCTGGAAAGCTCTCGCAAACTACTCAATCTCCACACGTTTACCGTTCGTCAGCGCGCACGTTTGAGCGAGAGCAATGGGAGGCGTGTTGTTACGTAGAAGGCGGGCCTAGCGAGCGTGCTGGGGTTTGTTACTAGTGCACGAAAATGCGGTAACGGTTCGGCTGTGGGTGAAGTCGTGCAACAGGTCACGCAGACAGGTGAGAGCATACCGCGTGGCCTACATCAGGGTTCCTCTGGTCAGCGAATCAAGGCCATGGTTGTTGACTGCAATATGAGGGAAAGCTGGTGAAGTTCATCCGAAGTTCTGAACATGGCTTCGGCTTTGATCTAACTCTCTGCTTACTGAGACGAGAGAACTGTGGTTTGGGCACTATCAACGCCCAGAGGTGTTCATTACAGCAATACTGCGCAGTCAACATCAAGGGACTTCTGTATCAATATATGTTCCCGTCAGCTACGCAATCACTTGTCACTACCGGTAGTGTTTTGCTTGGGAGTGCTGCTACGTACTATACAGATTCGATGTGTATGCACCAACTCAAACAAACATCATATAATTCCACTCGCTGACAAGACGTACATAACAGACCATTGTACATCGAACTACCTCAGAATTTTAACTGGACCAAGGTAGATACTTGATCTGGTAACACTGACATGCGCTGGCAGCGAGGCGCCTGCAATTACAGCCCAAATAGCAGGTTGTCTCATCACTTTCACCCCGTATTTTTCCTGCCTTAATCTGACTCCACTGAGGGTGGTGATCAATGATGGCGACAAAAAGTTGATAGGAAAGATACGGTAGTCTGGTAGATTAATCTGATTCTACAGCTGAGGGTGGTAATCAATGATGGTGATAAAAAGTTGACTACCACTCGTTTCATATATATATAGATGTTGAGTGTGCTAACCCGATCCTTCTTGTATGATCTTGCAATGTGAAATATATAATAAGAAGGCTCAACGTTCAACCATGTTGACATGAGTGCGCTCCCGTTCCTTGCTCGCTGTGATGTCATGGCGGTACCGTGTCATAACTTCGTCTTCATGAGTTACCACGGACAACTGTGTGTGATCAAGTCAAATTTATTGTAGCATAAATGATAATGTACAGCAGCTAAAATTACAGTCGTCAAACAGATAAGGCCATCCAAATACTCCTCCCGCCTCGCGACAGACTGATCCTGTAAATTACACACGTAGCGAACTCTACCAGACCCACCCCCACCAGTTATCTTGTACGGTCCAAGCCTCGCTCCATGAACGACACTGGATAAACCACATGATAAGACATCACACTGTGACATCCGCAGATGATATGTCGGACAATGGAATATGAACGAAGTCGCTAGTAGAGCCGCGTGAACGTTGGTTTGTCTGCCAGAGATGGTTGTGCATGCGTGTGGCAACAGTCGCAAGGGCTATGAACTGGATACTGTACATGGGTGTACATTTCGAGTGTGATTAGTAGGAATACCCAGTAGAATGCAGAGGTGCATACCCATCCAAAACGGTCTGGTATGTTTCCTGGGGCGCATAACATTAACGGCGCATCATAGAAGACCTGTAGAATATTCACGCACCTGGAGGAGCAACGATGTGAAGATGTTCATTATCGAGAATACTTCGGGAAATAGAATGATCATGGATGAGCACAGAAAAATAGCGCATACGAGTGTTCACTCACGGAAAACGCAAGCATAATATAATATGTTATGGTTCATCAGGACAATGTACAGACGGCTTGTGTTTCTCCACCAGCTTTGTATGGCACGTATGAGCGTGAGGATCATGAGTCCTGGGGAGAACACCTGTCAGCGCCTGTTGGTACACATATATGCTCCTGGCTACCCAGTCCGAACACAGAAAAGAGAACAAATGGGATAAACATCCGGTCACTGGTTGAGCTCTGGTAGCACCCTGTGATGCTCGGGATCGGGCTGGTCACATCTGTGGAAGTGAAAAGAATGTTTCAGCTACACCAGAGGGAAGGTGAGAGTGCGTACATGCTACGGAGGCGGTAGCGTCGACGATAATGCTGACGGATCCTACGAGACACAACTGGCTGATTGATTTACCACTAGCTTGTGCATGGTGAGTGGATTTGGAACTCACGAGATAGGTGACCACGATGGCTGCGAGCAAGATTTTGTTTTTGTTCCAGAACACATATGTCCTGATGATGAAAAAACCTGGATAAATCGGATCAGCAACATGCATATCTTAGGGAGGAAGAAGAGATACAATCGGCGCAAGTGGCTGCTATCATGCCGAGCACTGTGAGAGAAAGTAGGCTGCCCTCAGCAAGGTTGTACATAGATGAATGTACCATGGACGTACCTGAGGTAATATTGACCAACATCCCGCATTTCTGGCGAAGTCACAGAGTAAGTCGTTCGTTCTCATTAACTCTCCACCTCATCACATACAACTGGGTTCTCATTCGGGGTAAAGCTCACTGAAAAACAAGTGTTAATCGATTGATCAGGGCGATATGTGCTGGAGCGGAACGCACTATATAGACCTGTGATGATAAAGATAAAGGGAAGGTATTTTGTAACAATATACAAGCATTTCGTCTTGCTCCAGTTCGATCGAAGCAAAAACGTCCACTTCGTATATCATATTGTCTGTATCAAAACTAAGGCGTATCACGGAAGAAATGTATTACCTCTTCATGAAGTGAACATGCATAATCATAGATCTGGATAAGCGAGTTTGGCAGCGGACATGAATAGATGGAAATTAAAGCCTACCCAGAATGTAACCATCGACGCTGAGCTGCATCAGGACAAATAGTGTGACGTTCAGACAGTATTACGCACTATACATGTACTGGTGTGCATGACTTGTGAGTTATGATTCATCCTCGTATCGACAAGGAGACATACCTTGGCAAACTGCAAACTCCTTGCTGCTGCGACATCGTCAGTTGAATACTCCATTTCAAAGAGGTCAAAAGATGTCTTTCGGACACATCACTGGCATGAGCCTTCTTAACGATTGAGCGTAAGCTCATCAGAATGGCAGCATAAATAGTCCTAAATACCGTGATCCCGGACCATTGATGCATCGATGATCGAATGAGCTCGAGTTTAAATTTAGTTTACTGCAGCCGTGATGAAGCGTTTCATCGTTCACCGCCGCAAACACCGGCCGAAGAGCAACTTGATAAAAGATACGGCCATCGACGCCTGGGGCAGTAGATCCCTATATAAAAGATCATGCTCTACTCCGCACATGCATTGTTTTGTCTATGGTAGAACTACACAATAAATCCAGAACGCACCCAATAACAATTCTTGCTAGAAAAAAGTGCAGGTCTGAAATGTTTCGTTGTGCCTCTGTACTGTCACGGTTGTCTCCAGTGCCATGGGTTTTATTTTGTGTAGGAAATGAGAGGCAGTGGAAGACAGCAGAGCTTGGACACTATAAGAGGTTCGTGAAGCTTAGAGTAATGCGGGTCAAGTAAACGCGACACATCGTTTTCTCAACACCACGAAGCCCACAATTGTACAACGTACCAATTTCAATGGAATCTTGTCAAGCAATGATCATGTCACGGTATATTCCTTGTAGGGATGAACTGACAAGATGCTATTATGAAAGCGGAAGTTAAAGCGTAGACAAAAATTAACATATCGTATGGTGGTAAAAGAAAGGCACAGGATAACACTGACCACTACGGCTAAAAAGATTGTTGTTCAAAATTTCACAGCAAAGTTCACTATCAGACCGCATAACAATGAAAACTCAGAATGCCCACGTGATAGTAGGCGAAACACACGACGGATCGTATCGTATGAGACATAACGATAATGATCCGTATTTGTTAAGACTAGTTCGTGCATTACTTGTCATTTAACAATGCACGATATAAGAACAATCCTGCGTACCTCGACGTCATTCTCAGCAAGAGCGTTATCTTCGACAGCATGAATAGGATAGAAAGGCATTGGGCTTGCGCGCGCAAGAAGCGATACTGAACGGAGTTTGAATCAAGTGGAGATTTAAAGGTCAATTAAATACGAACCACAAGCAATCAGAAAGATAGCAAGGGCTGGGAATGAGATGAGTTTGGGTGCCATCTCCTGTGGCCAAGGAAAATGTGCAGGGAGGTTGTTAGACAAATCTGAGCCAGAGGATACAAGAGCAGCGCACCGTTACTAGGAGTGGATAAGATGCGACAGTAGAAAGACGGGACTAACAGACCATTGTGACCCTTTTATCCATCGTTGATGACGAAAAAGGATAAATGATAGAGAAGCTTACTTTATACACTGCAAAGAGTATTTCAAGGGCTGAGCGCTAGGCTGATCGCCGCCGCCTTATGGCATTTCAACAAGGAAGATCAAACTTTCATCAGACCAGAGTCTTATTGTTTCGCAGCCTCCTAAACATGCGACAGCCAAGTAGTTCACCAATGAGAACATTGCACCTGACATCGTGTCCTATCTCTAAACACGCTGTTAATCGCAGAGACACTGGGACAGTCACGTACGTGTCCGGCTAATGCTATGAAGCCCGCAAGACGGCACCACTGTACCTGTTTGATCGCTGTCCGTCTCGACGTGGTCCCAAAAGGTTCCCTCGTGGTACTGTCGTGCAGTATCCAATGATCATTAGCAACGAACACAATATGGAATTGTGTTGAATAGTCAAATGATCCAGTGGCGTCTGATATGAAGCGTTACGCAGCAAGATCAGACAATAACGCGGGAGTGTGGTCATCGCCTGATATGATATGGCTTGGAAAAGATTGCGAGCGAAGGAAACAAAGAAGGGACCCCGAAGTTGAGAACTTTGTTTTGTAGTGGCAGTGACTGAACGTTTGAACGATAAACGATTTTAATTGGCTGACGACACATAGAACGCCTGCACCATGTGCATATTACATAAACAATGATCACTTCCATACGGTAATTGCGCCGTTGGTCTACCAGATTAATCATGATGATTCTAGAGTTTCTGGTACTACTAGGAAGAACCCAGCTGATGCTATCTCCGCCATCGCATCTTTGTTCCAGTGTCCATCACTACTGTTACTATGGACTGATGCTTGCCATGGACCGTGGTCGCTCTTTCAATTCAGCCTTCTCTGTACTGTCGGTAGAGTTCATCAACGGGGGTCACGGTGCACTACCGTATAACATTGGGGTGGTCTAAGTACCGCTGTTCAAAGACTTATCTCTTGCTTACATCGAATGGATTCAGTCTAGCGTGTTTGTGCACTAATTTTGTTCAAATCATAGTGCTGTCAGCTTGGTCAGACTCGGAGGTGGTGGCCATGAAGTCGCAGGTGACGCGGACGTACCAAGGACATATCAAGGCAAGGGGGTTGAGTATTCATGTGAGTGATCTGATCAGGACGTGTTATATTCTGGTCTGTTGTTTGATGCCTTGTTCAAGATAAATTGATTGTATCATTGTAATCTTAATAAACTTTGGATGAGCTGTTATATTTTTCGACCGAATGGCATCATGATTAGAGACAGAGCGCGACACCGCTTTTCACTATCAACATCTTGAAATCAGTGACTTTGATTTATATATACATCACCCTTGGCACAACCTCTGCTTTTTACCTCGATGACACTTTGACCAATCAACTCCATCAGCACAGGATATTCATTCCTATGCAATGATCTCGTGATAGAAGCACTGGTATGCTGGTATATCTAGCACGAACGCCATCGTTGACATTGTATACCCACCAAGCTCGCCACTCCCTGACATCAATTCTTTGAATATGACCGCGGTCTTAAACGATCCCAGTCTGTGGCCATTGATCTATTCCTATCGAGTCATCAGCTATTTTGTAGGTTCGTGGAGAACAAGTCAGATTCTTTTTGCAATGTCTTACTCGATCTTCGACTGTGGTTTCGCAGTTGCAGCCTCTACTGCAGTGGTGTATGATTGGGGTGAGCAACTTCGTGCTCAGCGAGCGATTTATTTGACGTCTCACACCTTCATGTTATGCTCTAGTACTCGCAATCGGACAAGAGGTATAGGCTTATCTATCTCAGTACTCATATCACTGATAACGATTTCGTAGTTTGAATTGGTCTGGGTGAGTAGACTCTTATCAGAAGAACCACGTGATACAAAATAATTTGAAACAGAAACAACGTTGGTCACTGATGACGGTCCTATATCTCACTGTAGGTGGCTCATGTTTCAAGTTTAGTTAACGAGTTGTGCTGACCTCAGGATATTCTAGCTGCGTTTAGCTGGAATACTATTTTGCGTGTATGTCTAACAAGTTGACACTTCGCATTGCGCTAACCATAACTTCTTACGATCAGCCTTAACATACTGTGTATGTATCCTCACATGTACCGCATTTGTATCTTCTGAACTACCGCGTACAGCGACTAACCCATCAATCTTGCTGACGGATACGGTGAGTATTCTCTACCCATATTTGTTGTTTTCCATATAACTAACTATACTCGTACGGTAGGGGTAAGTGAGCTTTTCGACTGGGTTGTTCATTCTAACCGTCGAAAAAGCTGTAGGTTTGTTCAAGTCTTCCGATGCTCATCTGTAACCGGATTTCTCAGGTGCTATTCTCGCTCTCGCACAAGAATGGACATCTTTCGCTGTGTATATCATGTTGGGTGGTGAGCTACTCAGCTGCCTCAGTGATATTGACTTGGCTGAGTACCATGCAAGTTATCGTCATAGCTCGTCTGCATGTCATATACCAGTCAAGAAAGATCCTCATTCTTCTGGTGATAGTCTTCGTGACCGTCACAATTGCCTGTGGATTGGTCACTGGGATAGTCGGCATGAATTTTTCGTACGGTAAGCTGTGCCCAGTGATGAAATACTCAATGCACGTCAGGCTGATGAGATACATACCAGAGGAGGTCATCTTCTCCGGCACCTACCAGTGCACTAGCGAAGGATCGTCTGGAATCCTCCTATTAGCCCTACCTTGGGTATTTTACACTGCATGGGCTATCCTCGGACTGTCTCTTGCAGGCTGGATTGCTTTCAGGCATTCCCGTAGAATGAAACGATGGTCCATGAATGACCGTCTCACGGCGCTGATAAAAACACACATGTTTTACTTTATAATGTGCGCTCTTCCTTTGAACTCTAATTATCATCCCCCTGAGGTTCTGCATGTGCTAGATTTACTGCTGCTTGTTGCTTGAACCTCGGTTTACTTTCTCCAAAAATATCTGTACGCCGAACCAGCTATATCTGTATCTGATCACTCATTGTTTTTACAGAGCTTCACTTCCCTGGGAGTTGATATTTATTATGGCATTCTTGAAATTGTCCTGTTCGTGCAGATGTTTGTTCTGGGACCATGTCTCATTCTTAACATCCGAGAATACAACAATAACGTTACGGCCACTTCTGACGCAGGAATCGGCATACCATTACTTTCCAGGAACGCACACACAACATGTCGACTAACAGTGATGTGTGACATAGAGGTCGAACAGCATGTGACGGGTACTCTGCAGGGAGTATGAGAGACTCGTCGTTGTATTGATGGATTGGTATGCCGAAGTGGGTTTGGGAGAGAAGTAGATGTAGAAAAATCATTGTTATCATACCAATGATATCGGGGACTCTACCTGAACCCTTCCTGGTGATTCAGACGGAGCGGGGACTAGGAATGAGGAAGGGAATTCGGCCTCAACTATAATTTATTACAACGTGTATACTTGATGCCCCATGTAAGGAACTATGTATATTATTAGGAACTTCATACCATTTATGTTATGGTTCACCGGGACAACGTATTAGTATACATGATCATGTGTAGGAACAGAATTATATCGACCTATAGTTGTCACGGTCACGATGTCGAGAACTCAAGGGATCACTGACTCCGGCTCTAGCACACGTCCTGAATCCGTCGCCTCGTACAGTGGAGATGATGAGTACGAAGGCCATTCAAATTTACTTCCCACCCCGCGACAGATTCATCTCATAAGTTAGACATGTAACGAACTCATCCAAACCCACCCCTACCAGTCATCTTGTACGGTCCAAGCCTCGCCCCACGAACGACACAGAATAAGCCACAGGATAAGACATCACGCTGTGGTGGGATTTGCAAATGAGATATCGGACATTGGAATATGCACTAGGGCGCTAGAGCTGTGTGAATGTTGGTTCGTCTGCCAGAGATGGAGGTGCATGCGCGTGGCGAGGGTCGCAAGGATCATGAACTGGAAACTGCACGTGGGTGTACGTTTCGAGTATTGTCAGTAGGAATACGCAGCAGGACGTGAAGGTGCATACTCATACAACATGGAGGACTGGGGGCAGAACATCAACAGCTCGGTCATAAAAGGTATTTGGGATGCACGTACATGGAGAAGCAATGATGTGAATATGTTCGCCACCGAGAACACTTCGGGGAAGAGAATCGCCATGGGTGAGCACAGAAACACGGCGCGTGCAAGTGTTCACTCACGAAGACCGCATGCATAATATGCTATGTTGTGGTTCACCAGGACAACGTACAGACGATTTGGGTTTACCCGCCAGCTGTGTATGGCGCATATGAGCGTGAGGGTTACGAGAACTGAGGAGAACACCTGTCAGGATGTGTTTGTGCATATATGCTCCTGGTAACCCACCCAGATCGAACACGGAAAAGAGAAGAAATGGTATGAAGAACCGGAAAGTGGTGGAACTCTGGTAGCACCCTGTAATACCTGGGATCGCGCTAGTCGGATCTGTGAAAGTGAACAGAATGTTTCAGTGGTCGTGGAACACCAGAGAGAAGGTGAGAGTGTGTACATGTTGCGGGAGCAGTAGTAGCAAAGGTAAGGCCGGTGGAGGCCCCAATAAAAGTCTGGTTGATGCATCTATCACTAGTATGGGTGTGGTGATTGGATTGGGGACTCACGAAAAAGGCGTAGAGCATGGCTGCGAGCAAGATTCTATTGTTGTTCCAGAGCACATATGTTCTGAGGATGAAAAACCCTGGATGAACAAGATGAGAGACGCACACATAGTATGGGGAAACGAGAGATACATTCGGAGAAAATGACTAATACTAAATTGAGGCCTGTAGGAGGAAAGTAGTAGTCTTCGGTAAGGACGTGCATACATGAATGTACCATGCACGTACCTAGTTCGGCATTGTCCAACACCAAGCATTTCTACCGAATCATGCAATAAGTCATTCGTTCTCGTTACTCTTCATCGCATCACATATGTAAGGAGTCCATATCCTCTGCACCCCGACTAACGCTTCATAATAAAATTCAGGACTTATGTCCGACATCCGCGTGACTCATTGACGCGAACAAGCATCACGCTTCGCGTCCGAGTCACGCGGACACATTCTCTTTCCTTACCTTCACCCTCTCGTTATGCTCAACGACGAGCTCGGTCTTTCACCCTTATTCATAACTATACCCTGGACTTATCACCAAACCATCTCTCGTCATTTCAGCTTAGTTTCATTCCTTCGCCCCAAAAACAGTCAAACACCAAATGCTTCTCGTCATTCCTGTGCACGGCGAGCTGCCTATTACTATCTTTTATTCAAAACTAACATACATTCACTCATTTCCGTTACTTTTACCCTGTCAGGCTCAACGCCACCACTCTCTGTCTCCCTGAAAACTTCACTTTCGTAAACAAGGACCCTTACTCTCGTGTACTTAAAAAAACGGCCTTGTACGCTTACTTTGAACATTGGTTGCTTTCCCCACCATGAGTCCGTGTCAGATCCTAAGACAGTCCTATCACAGCGAGCTTCGCAATTCCCTCTTCGGACTCAGCATCAGCCTTATATATTTGGAGCCCACCGCGAGGGAATTGCTTTCGAGCTCCCCTTGCACCCCCGAGTTCGATTTATCGAACTCTCCTTCTTGTTAAACTCTTTCCGTGATTACTAAATACTGTCATCCCAACGCGCAGTATCGTCTTCAACAGAATCAGCCAACTGCGCTGGCACTCCTGAAGAACGCCCCCTCCCCTAAGAAACCCAGAACCCGCGCCAATACTGTCACCACTGCCTTTCCCCATTACTATCTTCAACAAACAACTGCTCCTCCTCCTAATCAGATTGACGCTTTCCGAACACCAACTCGCGCGGCTAGCTCCAAACAGCAAGTAGACACATCAGATATTCCATCCGAATCTTCTATATCCGAAGACGACACTATAAGCCAACTACCTTATTTCAACACCTTATTTCCGCCCCTTCCTTCTCAACCTTCATTCGTCCTCAGACCCGCAGTTTTCGACCCCGAGACACCAAAGCACCCTCCTTTACCTCCCCAACCTCATAATACCCCAACACACTCGCATCCTACAACTGTCCCGCCCATTCCAAAACCTCAGTTTGTCCCCAAAAACGAGTCGTTACCCCCTCAACCACCAGCACCCGCAGCAGTTCAGGCAGCGACAGTATCTGTTCCACCAGTACCAACGGTCACCCAACCCTCCAATACCTCTCACCC